AGATTCCTCAGTTTCCCAGCCAGGAGATTTCCTGGAGAGCCACTGGTCTTCAGCCCACCTCACAAGCCCAGAGAAGATAGGTTCTGATGTCATTGAAGAAACCCAGCAGCAGCAACAGCAGCAGTGGTCATGGGAACAACATAGTTAGAGCACTTTCCAGAGTTTGGAGGCAGTGAGGGGCAAAGATAGCTTTCCCTCGGACCTTCTTTTATCTGGGCTGCCACCTGAGGGTGCCACCCACATAGGTAGATCTTACAACTTCAAATGAGCAAATCCAGTAGCTTAGCTCTTGGTTCCGGATGCAGTCAATTTGACAGGCAGCATTAGCCATCCCAGAGATTAAACACACACATGGATAATTGCCACATTTGGCAGGGATGCACTCTAACTGGTGGACTGTGTACTGGCGTGTTGTGCAGTGAGTTTTTCAGAAAGCAGTGTATTGTATAATCCACCCAACAATTTCATTATACATAAAATTGGAGATGGTTAAACTAGAATACTTCTAGTTGAAAGAAATAAAATATGAATGCATCATCTTGTATTCCACAGTTCAAAACAATGTCCCCACCAGAGTCAAAGTTTCCTGCCAGGTTTTTAAAGTTAGTCCTACTGAAATCTGTCTGTCGTTTCTCACTGGTTTAGTAAAAACAATGGTGGTGGATGAGAAATGTCACAGACTGTCTTCATTGTATCATGCTATGATATGATGCGTATACATTGTCAATGATTTATCACTGTTGATTCTACAGCTGGTATCAGGGAATTAGTCTCTTTCATTGGATTTGCGGGAATGAATTTTCGTACTTTTTCTTTACCATCTTTTTTAATATCTGTGCCTCAGAATTGATATATTTCACTTCTAACTTTAGTAATTTGTACTTTTCTTGGCTGCCTACGTAATCATCAATTCTATATTTCTCTTCAAGTAGCAAGGTTTTAGTTCAACTTTTTTTTCTACTATTTTCATTGAAATTGATTCTTAATAATATAATATTACTAACTCCTTGGTAATTTCATTCAAGTTATTTTAATTATATTCATACCCAACTTTTCTCCAACACCTCCCAGATACACCTGCTCTTCCTACACCCCCCCCCCCCACACACTTTGTGTCCTTTTTTTATTGATGTTGGTTGTAACAGGAGACACTTTGCTCCTCTGGCTGTTTGAATCCTTCACACCCTGTTCCACATCATTCTTCATCCTCAGGTATGGGGGTGTGCTGTAAATGCATGCCTTGGAAGCAGGTACCCCACTATTAGTTGTTTTCTGTGTTCTCACAAGTTGTGGCCTTCTGTGATGATTAAAAGCTGAATTTTAAAAAGCAGGAGCACACAAACACAAAAGCTTCCAGATACACACTGACTGATCAGGGACACAAGATCTCCAGCTAGAGACTGCTTTGGAAAGGAAACTGTCAGCACACCATACATACCATTTTCTGGGATGAAACTTGCTCAGTGCAGTCTGAAATCATTTACTGAAAAAGACGTCATCCTGGGAGAAAAGTCTTTTGAAGACAGTGGAAAATAGAAGAGGCAACTAGCTTAGTGAAATTGAAGACAGAACTTAAAAGGTTAGGGACCTGCGGGATCGTGAGTTACTGGGTTCAAGCACATCACTTTAAGATAGTTATCATTCTCAAGAGAGCCTTCATCCAGTGGCTTATGGAAGCAGAGTCAGATACCCACAGCTAAGCACTGAGCTGAACTCCCGGAATCCAGCTGCAAAGAGGGAAGAGGGATGAGCAAAGGAGTCAAGACCATGCTGGGCAAACCCACAGAAACAGGTGACCTGGGCAGATGAGAACTCAAGGACTCCAATCTGACAGCTGGGGAACCAGCATGGACCAAACCAGGCTCTCTGAATGTGGTTATCAGTTGGGTGGCCAGGGGAGTCTATGGAACCTCTGGCAGTAGAATGTGTATTTATCCCTAGTGCAAGAACACACTTTGGGAGGTCATTCCCCATGGAAGGATACTCTCTCAGCCTAGATACACAGGAGAGGGCCTAGGTCCTGCCCCAAAATACTTGGCAGGCTTTTATGGTCCCCTACAGAAGGCCTCACCCTCCCTGGGGAGTGGATGGGGAATGGGATGGGAGATCAGTGGGGGCATGGGAAGAGGGGGAGAGAGGGAACTGAGATTGATATGTCAAATAATATTCTTTCTAATTTAAATACAATTTATTTAAAGCTAAATAGAGAAAAAAGAACACCACTTTTAGTGTATGGTTAGAATTAAATCAAGTTCTGAGAGAATTGCTTAAATAATAGTTATGGAATTCAGGATTGTAACTCTATAATAGAGCGTGAAGTCAGGGATGGTGATGCTTTCCTTTATTTTACAGGGATATTTTGGCTATCCTGGGTCTTTTGTTTTTCCATATAAAGTTTGAGTATTGCTCTTTCAAGGTCTCTGAAGAATTGTGCTGGGATTTTGATGGTGATTGTATTGAATCTGTAGATTGCCTTTGGTACGATTGCCTTTTTTACTACGTTGATCCTACCTATCTAAGAGCATGGGAGATCTTTCTATTTTCTGGTATCTTTTTTAAATTCTTTCTTTAAAGACTCAAATTTCTTGTTGTACAGGCCTTTCACTAGTTTGTTTAGCATTACTCCAAGGTATTTTATGTTGTTTTTGGCTATTGTAAAGGGTGAGATTTCTCTGATTTCTTTCTGAGCCCATTTACCTTCTGTATATAATAGGGCTCTGGATTTATAAGCTGTAGGAGTTCTCTGGTAGAATTTTTCAGGTCACTTATGTAAACTATCATATCGTCTGCAAACTGTGAAAGTTTGACTTCTTTTCCAATTTGCATCCCCTTTAACAAATGGTGCTGGCATACCTGGATGCTGTAGTGTAGAAGACTGCAGATAGATCAATGTCTACCGCCATGAACAAAAATTAAGTCCAAATGGATCAAAGACCTCAACATAATTTCAGCCACACTGAACCTCTTAGAAGAGAAAGTAGGAGGCACCCTTCAATGAATTGGTACAGGAGACTGCTTTCTGAACATATAACACCTGTAGCACAGACACTGAGATTGACAATTAATAAATGGTATCTCCTGAAATTGAGAAGCTTCTGTAAGGCAAAGGATACAGTCAACAAGATAAAAAGGCAACCCACAGAATGGGAAAAGATATTCACCAACCCCACATCTGACAGAGGGCTGATCTACAAAACTTACAAAGAACTCAAGAAGCTCGTCTCTAAAGCACTATATATATATATATATATGCCAATTAAAAAGTAGGGTACAGAACTAAATAGAGCTAAATAGAGAATTCTCACTAGCTGAGCCTCAAATGACTGAGAGACACTTGAGAAAGTGCTCAACATCCGTAGCCATCAGGGAAATGCAAATCAAAACAACTCTGAAATATCATCTCACTCCTATCAGAATGGCTAAAATCAAAAACACCAATGACAGTTTATGCTGGAAAGGATGCGGAGACAGGGGAACACTCCTCCACTGCTGGTGGGAGTGCCAACTCGTACAGCCACTTTGGGGATCAGAATGGAGATTCCTCAGGAAAATGGGAATCAGTATACCACAAAATCCAGCAATTCCACTTTTAGGCATATACTCAAAAGATGCCCATTCACACAACAAGGATGTCTGTTCCACTATGTTCATAGCAACATTATTTGTAATAGCCAGAACCTAGAAGCAACCTAGATGCCCGACAACTGAAGAAAGGATGGAGAAAATGTGGTACATTTACACAATGGAGTACTACTCAGCAGAAAAAAAATGGAATCTTGAAATTCAAAGGCAAATGGATGGAATTGGAAGAAACCATCCTGAGTGAGGCAACCCAGGCATAAAAAAAAAACAAGAATGGTATGTACTTACTCATATATGGATTTTAGACATGGAGCAAAGGATTACCAGTCTACAATCTACACTGCCAGAGACGCTAGTAAACAAGGAGTACCCCCAGAGAAGGGGAAAAGGGTAAGATCTCCTGAGCTAATTGGGAGCATAGTCAGAAGGAGAGAGTGAGTCAGGAGAAAGAGATGCAGAGGAGGGTAGAGGAGGATTTGAGGGAGCATGAGTCAGGGAAAGAATGGAAGAGAGCAAGAAAAGACATACCATAATAGAGGGAGCCATTATAGGTTTAAAGAGGAATCTGGCACTAGGAATATGTCCAGATATCTACAAGGACAACCCCTACTAACAATCTACATAATAGTGGAGAGGCTACCTTAAAAGCCCTTCCCCGATAATGAGATTGATTACTATCTTATGTGCTATCCTAGAGCCTTCATACAGTTACTAATGAAGCAGAAGCTGACACCCATAGCTAAACAGTGAACTGAACTCCTGGAATCCAGTACAGAGAGGGAACAGTGATGAGCAAAGGGGTCAAGACCAGGGTGGAGAAACCAACAGAAACAGCTGACCTGAACAAGGGGGAGCTCATGGACCCCAGACTGATAGCTGAGAAACTAGCATAGGACTGTCTTAGACCCTCTGACTGTGGTTGCCAGTTAGGAGGCCTAGGCAATCTATGGGGCCTCTCGTAGTAGATCAGTATTTATCCCTAGTATACGAATGGATTCTGGGAGTCCACTCCACAAGAGGGATACTTTCTCAGCCTAGACACATGGTGGAGGGCCTAGGCCCTGCTCCAAATGATATGACAGACTTTGAGCATTAACTATGGAAGGCCTCACCCTCCCTGGAGAGCAGAAAGGGAATAGGATAGGGGGTTGGTGAGGTAAAGGGGAAAAGGGGAGGGAAAGGGAACTCGGGTTGACATGTAAAGCAAGCTTGTTTCTAATTTAAATTAAAAAAAGAAAAAATAATATTAATGGAATTAACTGTACAACCAATTAGCATTCATGTTGGGGGGGTTCTGTATTCTTAATTAGATTCCTATTAGGAAAAGTGATGAAAGAAGTTTGACATATGAAGGAAGGAAAAGAGTATAAAAAGAATATATTAGAGGAGAATGGAAAAAAAGACATAAGTGATGTTACCTGTGACTCCAACATGTAGCACTTAGAGACATCTGGTAAACCAAGGTTTGCTACAAGCGGATCTTCTTTGCCATTAGAGTCAAGAAGTTAACAGTTATAGAGATCAGATGTCAGCAAGTTGTATCCAGTGAGCACAGGAATGTAGAACAAGGTTACATTCAACTGCTCTGAGATGTGGTCCAGAAAGCTCTCATGATGCAGTCAAGGACCCGGCAGGAACCTGAAATAATTGGAGTTGACATATGTTAGCAATTGCATGCATGGGTGCTGTGACAAACTGGTGCATCATGTTTCTTATTAGGAATCTATTTAATGACAAGTAGGTGGTGAAAAGCCTTGAATTAACCTGGACTTGAATTCACTTCAGGTTCAATGGATGCTGAGTTTTCTGCAGTGATGTTGGTGCTGGATGCGTGTTGGTGATAGATACACTGCTTTACTGGTGAGAAGAGACTAGAAATTCACCGGAACTAAGCATTCAGGGGAAAGGAATTATTGACTATGGTTGAAAGGGGTTGGAGATGAGGCTGACAGCTAATGCCAGGTTTCCTGCAGCCAAAATAAGTCAAATCTGGCATATTGGGGGCTGTGTGAATCAGCTCACTGTTGGAACTCCAAGCCAGAGAGACCAGCTGTGATGTTTGTGGGGCATTGCCAGGAAAGCCAGAGCTTGTCCCAGTGAAAACCATAAACATGAGGAAGGGAATATGCTAGGTCAATAATTAAACAAGAGCATTAATTCTCTGAAGTAAAAGGTTTTTTTTTTAAACCCCATAATCGTGAGTTCAAGGATAACAACAACAAAAGTCTTAGAAAAGACACGCAGTGTTTAGAATGGAATTTCAATTGTTCTAAAGTGGTCAGATTTTCACATTTGTTAGATATTGTCTGCATGAGGCACAAATGATTCTCTGAACCATGACCTTACAGGTGTCACTATGTCCTAGGCAATGACAAACATATAAAAGGTGTAAGTGCCATTGAGTCACTGCCCTTCCATCTTACAACTTCAACCCTGTTAGGACGGCAAAGAAAATCACAGTCACTGTGTGTTGTGACGTGAGCTGTTAGAGAAAATGATATGGTCCTGTGGACCACTTAGATAAGACTTTTCCAGGATACTCAGAGGCTTCCTTATAGGAAGTCATACTTTTTTCTAACATTTTTAAATTGATCTTTTGGGAATTGCACATCATGGACCCAGTCCCACTCACCTTCCTGTCCCCCCCCATATCCTCTCCTCACCTCCCCCCCAAAAACAATCAATTAAAAACAAAGCAAAATACACAAATGAAAACTGCCTCACTACTCCATCGTCCCAACATCTCTTCATTCATCCTACTGGCATTCAGTGCTGCAGTGTGTCATGCATTATACCCTTTTGTTCAATCAGCCCCACCCACAAAATGTTCATTACTGTGAGTCATTGGTCTGGTTCAAGGCTCACTGAAATCCCTCTCTGATACATTCTATTGCCGCAAGTCTTGGGGAATCTGTGGTTACTGTTCCACAGGACCCATCTCTTCACGCATTCTTGCAGGTCATAGATGGGATAGATGTTTAAGGTGGGCCAACCCAAGGTTCACAGTCAGAAGATTCTTTAGGAAAATGGTAACATTTACAGGAAAGATTGACACACCCTTGAAAGTATATTTCATTCCACACTTATATCATAGTGCTCATGAATGTCTGTGATGTACGAATACATGTAAGTGTGCACACTCATGAGGGAGCACGTGTACTCATCTATACATGTATGTAGGTGGACAGTAGCAGTGATTGATGATGCTAAGAAGTCCTCAAAGACCAGTCACCAAATGGCCATGCATACAATGTTTGCTTCTTGTGTCAGTAACGATGAAGAACCTTTGATTTTACCAAATGTCTATTTGTTCAGATTCTTGGGTTTGGTGTTTGACAGTGACAACAACCCAACTCAAAATGTCGAGAAGTCATTGTCTCCTGTCACAGGTGCAGCAGACAGAGGTCCAGCTGGAATGAAAGTAACTATATGGCTGTTCATTTCTATTTCAATTCCCTTCACATTTGCACCTATTCATGGCCCTTTTCTTTGTAAACACATTTCTTCAGAGACTACAGACACACACATGAAAACTGCCACCCTTGTAACTGTATCTATAACAAGGAAGAAAAGAATGAGGTAAACAAAATCCAAAACTTCATTTTATTATTTTGTAGTACAGTTGACCTAAAGATAGACATGTCAGCCCGACCTGATTACATATTTGTTTGTTTTTGTTTTTCTACACAAGGTTTCACTGGGTTGCCTTGGTTGTCCTGAGACTCACTCTGACCAGGCTGGCCTCAAACTCACAGAGATTCACTTGTGCCGGCCTCCTGAGTACTGACATTAAAGGCATGAGCTGCTAATACCTTGTGCATATGGGTTTTAAAGCAAGAAATTTTCTTCAGCTATTAGCAGAAGAGAATTTAGAAATTTAGAAGGTAAGAGATCTGATCATCATATTGGCCTTTAAGGGTAGAAGGTGCTTCTGTTTACAAACCCACAAAGGTCGAGGTGGTGAAAGTAGTCTCCAGTGAGCAATCAGCAAAGAAACTGGGACCCCAGTTATGCATCACCTAGAACATGGATTCTGTTGACAAGAAATGAGCTTAGACTTTCTATTCCCCAGAACCTCTAAAGACAATTAGACTGACAAACATCTCAACTTCAGTTGTGTAACATCCTGAGCACAGAACCTGTTCTTTAAGGAACTTCTCTTCTACCTATCATGACCTACTAACCTGATGTTTCAAGCACTTATCTTGTGACGCTTACTCTCAGCATTAGAAAGCATGCAATGAGTCTTTGTTCCTTGGGTACTAGTTCATGTCTAGCTCCAAGACACTCTCAGACAATTATCTGACTGGCTCATTGTATGGCATGTGTCTAAAGCTGAGTCAGTCTCCATTGCCAGGAACAAGGTGGACCCTCTGCTTCACCCAAACAGGCTAGAAGGCCCCTGCTACCAGTCCATGAAATCAGAATGGTCAGGACAACTTAGTGTTCTCTCCTGGGACATTATCAATGTAGAGATGAGGCAGAGGTGGGTGGACACTGTTTGCAAGAGATGGGAGAGATACGTAGCAGGAGAGAACCATGTTGAGATCCCAGGATTGAAAAGCGGATAAGCTAGAGACAGGATGCTAAGTGTGGAGACTGGTAATCATCTCTAGGAGACATCATTGTTGACTGGACATGAGTAACAGCGTAAGGAAGGGGCAACATGAGACCTGGGCACAGAGGTTGGTTCAAACAAGGCACTGAAAAATCTGTTGAATAAGTGAATTCACTAGTGTAGGCATAAGGGAGCCCTGATAACAATGTTAACGACTTCTGTGAGTATTCAAATGACTTAGCCAATATTTCTTTCAGCTATGCAAACTGAGACTCCGGGGGCCCACAAAACCCCAGGACTCAACGGAGCAGGCACGTCAGCTTACAAATACAGGATTGTAGAACTTCCACGCATCACTGGGGCACGGTTACACAACACCCTGGATGTCCAGTATGCCTTCGAGGGCCTCTTGCTGTTATCCGTGAATCACCGCAGACTCGCGTAATTCAGTTTCCTCCTTGGCCATATGTCTCCTGTCACTTGTCATCATTGCTCATCGCCAGTGTAACTCCTCGTTACTTCCTTTCCATTAATTTGCATGACTAAGATGCCCTCCCAATCAAAAGAGGCCCCTTGTCCTTAGGTGCCTGCTGCGGCTGGGCTGCCTGGTTTTGCTAAAAGCCTTTGCCCTGGCTATGACCGCCTTTCCCTCTGATATTCTCCACTTCATTAACTCGGAAATTGTCCTTAGATTAGCAAAGTTATTTCTCCCTATTAACTCTCAGCAATATGGCCGCATGTTCAGATGGAAATCCTATTAATCCTATTAAGTACCCAGGGTTGAAGTGCAGAAAGCTGGACCACTGAGTTGAGAGAGATTAGTAATGCTGGATAAATAGTTCAGCTTCTGAATTAAGGGAAGCAGATGTATACATGGGACCAGCTTCTCCTGCTTGCAACCAGTTCTGAGGTGGCAGCACATTTGTGGTATAATTTTACTACGAATTCCCTTCCTGGAGGTGGTAAGATGCCACGTTCATCATCCACACTTCCCGTCGCATGCCGATGGCTGGGGACATAATGGCTTGTAAAAAAGCAATGGCCTGGGTCCTGTGGAACTTACATCTCCTGTCGACAAAGATAATCAACTATATAAATGTGCTTTGAAGAAAACAGTCATTAAAAAAATTCTTAAAATGTGATACTGGCATAAGACTTGAAGCATGGACAGGGACTAAATGATTGAAAGGGGTTAGTGTTTCTTATTCTATATTCTGAAGCGGTTCAATAAATTGTTTCTCCTGTATTCAGAAGCTCCTGAAGAATGTATATATTAGATACAATATTATATGATATATTATGATGCATTTATAGTATGTATGACTGACATATCAGTCATACCAAGTTTGTTTGCTTTTCCTTCAACAGCACAGGGAGAATAATGTTGTGGGTCAAGATCCTTACCATGTAAATCATTTTTTAATGCATAGCTTCTGACTTGTCAGCATCCTCATGGAACGTGTCCTTTATCAGTTCAGCTGTGTAATTAATGTAGTAATGTAATTAATAGTAATGTAGATTGCCACTTCTTGGTCCATGAGTCTGTGTGCCGGTCTTTTAGGTATTTGAAACATATTTGGATTTCAAGGAAGGGAGCAGTTAGCTATTGTCAACCTTATTTGCAGGCAATTCAGCTGAGGCTGCAGGTTATACTCCAGACCACCCTGCTGTGAGGCATGGTGCAAGGAGACTTCTTTACCCTAATAATTCATTTTCTTATAGTCCACTGTATGTCACAGCTATAGCGTTATGGATGCAGCCTAGGATCGCATTACTTTTTGCAGCAGGCATGTTATATTTCTGGCTCCTTTTAAATTTTGCAGACAGAAAACATCAGAGGTAAGTGTGTGTGTGTGTGTGTGTGTGTTTTGAATATGCACACACACTGGAGATCTGATTTTTTTCTGTAAATGACTGTTTTGATTCTAATCTGCAAGACGTTTATTTATCATCATTAGATTTCATCTGGCAAAGCATGAAAAATCTTTCCAGTCTGCCAAAAGATTCCACATTGATTCCTTCACTCGGCACGAAGCTCTTACTTGTCTCTGGGTAAAGCAGAATTTATGCTTTC